CTCACCTCGGTCATTTTAGGTCAGTAATCTATTCTGACCTTTAAGAAGTCTATGGAAGATGTGTAATGCGGTTCCCGTTATCAATAAAATCAGAACGAGCACCAGAAACTACCTCACATAGCAAACCCTAGAGTAATAAAGCAAGCAGGCTTTGACCTTGGTCTGACCTTTGTACCTGACCCTACGTCAATTGACTTTGTTCATTCAATTATTGTGTTGCCTAAGAAACCATCTCAGAGACGCATGGCTTTGTCGAACACTCAGTTGTTGCGTCAGCTTGAACGATTCCCTAGAAACCACTTCACTGAATCCACGGCCTGACTTCGGCCTGCCGTAGGTCAGCGACTTTACAAGGTACGTCTAAATTGTTGATGGCAAACGACTCACTATTCAGTTGTCTACAGCGATGCAAAATTTGGCGCGGCTACTCCGCGCCGTTCGGAAACCATTTCGGAAAAACCTGCGAGGGGTCAAACTGACACCCCACCCGAGCGCGCGGTAATCAACACAACCATCGCGAACAAGCCTGACACGATTGCTGCGCTCCAGTCGGCAGTCAGCCGCTTTGTGGCTAGCAGCAGCCCGCAGTGCGGCTCGGAAGTGCAAATTGTCAGGGTCAACAGGCAGATGGATACCAAAAGCTGTGTGCTGATCGATTGCTTACACCGACTACGAAGCGGTACCAATTTTCTTAGATTTTGACCATATTGAAGATAAATTGGAAGGTAAGCGGGTCCTCGCGCTGCACACGAAAAAGGGTGCCGAATGAAAGAAAAAAAGATCCGCAGTGGTACAGTTTCGGCTTTAAAGAGTGTTCTTTTTGTCGTACATAACTGTGAAAATTGCATTTTTCTAGAACGAATCGATATAACGCACATACACTGTTAGTTAACACGTGCGCCAATGCTTCTGCAAGCTCCTTGGTTCAACCCTGACCATAGCATGCTCTTCCCTCGACTAGCTCCTTCCCAGACGACGGCAGCAACTGGAGCATGATGCCCCGCCCCGGGACTCACGCTTCGCCAGCCAGCAGCCGTCGGTAGAGTCGCAAACATGGTCACATCCGATGACTCATCGAGAGGGCGCGGCCTCGCTCTGAGTCGCTGGAAGAGCCCTCTGACCTCCGGACCCGAGAGAAATCAGTGTAGGTCTCTGTATGCCTGCGTGTTGCGGCGAGTATCCTGACAGCAAACGCGTGGTCAAGCCCGTGACGCAGGGGTGCAGAAACGAAAACATCTACCTTGTACAGTGTGCGGTGTAGGCAGTCGGGGTGATCATGGGAGATCTCATCTGTCACCTGCTGCACGAGAACCTGCCAGGCATCACACACCTCCACTTCGTCCGGTTTCGATACTTTTTTCCCGTTCACCCAGACCCTTTGTCAGCACCCACCTTTCACTTACCCAGCGGATATGAATCATCGCTGGACTTGGTCCATTCACCCAGGCCATTTGTCCGCACTCACCTTCCACTCACCCAGCGGATATAAATAACCGCTGGACTCGGTTATCACAAAGTCTCCGAAGTACATCCAGCACACGGATGTGGTGTCCAGCCACTGCAGTGACCATATCCTGGCCACCACTACCTTGAAAGCGAGACACAACAGAGCAGCGAAAACATCACCTGCACACCATCACCGAACGAGCACTGATATCATACCGGATCTGGCCGCGCCCGACTGGGGCGCCGTCCTGAAGCCTTGTTCACCAGATAAACAGCGGGATGCTTACCTGACTTCACACCCGACCACTCTGCCAGTGTCGGACGCTTAGGGCGCTCATGGCAACACGTTGCGCTCTTCGTCACATCGGCGCGCTGTACAGGCAGCTGGATCATAGGCAGCCAACCAATGCGGCCGCAGCGAGAACATCTGACGACGCGTTGAGACGGAGAGGTCCGGAGATGAGCGAGAACATCTGGCGATGCGTCAAGACGAAAAGGTCCGGAGACGAGCGAGAACATCTGGCGATGCGCTAAGACGAGGGGGTCGGGAGACGAGCTTCTTGCTGTCCGCGGTATCGTCAGTGGCAGGAGACCATGCACACGCAGCTTCCTGATGACCTCGTATTGACCAACGAATTCTTCGCCGACATCGGAAGGAAAACCTCCGTCCCGGTACTGGCAGCGACTCCGGTCTTACACAAGACTCTTATGTCGCACGAGTACGCGCGGGGGTCCCTTGCCTACAGCCTGTCACCGAACATGATCTTGAATGAACTATGGCATCCATGAACGCCAGCGGCGCCCGTAGCGACGGCTGCATGATACTGCATTTTATCAGTGTCTGCCTACAAATGCTTTTGCAAGCGTCGCCGTGCAGAATCAGCAGTAATGCTGCCTCTGCGTACTTAAACGCAAGTGGAAGATATCACTAGTGGGGATGAATTTAAGAGCTGGCCACGTGGGAAACTTCAAACCGATCTATTGCATTCCCGCACCGCCTATGTGAGAGGAAAATGTGGCATGCAAGCAGGTTACAAGGCATGCTACATAGCATGCCGCGATGTCTCGAGATAGCACGGGTTTCGTTGAAGTTTTCTGAGACGGCAATCCCAGCAGTTCAGAAAGCGTATTTGAGGCTTGGATGTCAGCCAGGTGGCGTGATGCGATTAGTTATCTATAAAAGGTATGTAATCGTGTTCGTCATCACTTGCCGCTAAAAGCACTGATGTTCGACAACGCGTTACGCCTAGGCAACGGCTGCCTCCAGCTGTATTGACAGCATGTCCAAGCTCGAAACTCGAGCAACGGTGCTTCCAGGGGCGGCTTGTGGATTTCCTTTGGTTTAGTGCATAAAAACAAACGCAATGGTCACCCTGGTGCTGCACGCTTCATGCTGTGTGCGGGTGACTGTCGGTACTTGTAACAGGTGACTGACGGAATCCGGACGAACAAAACTCATAGATCTTTGGGACATGCTAGCATATCAGAAGCCCTTCTCTCAGGCAGATTCACTTTTACGATGGACTTACCATCGCAGTGAAAGGTGCAAGTCATGAAAAACATGAGTGCTATTTTTTGCGGGACTCATTTGTCATTGCCACTTTTTTGTCCACATTGTCATGTCACATTGTCACACCACATTGTCATGTTACAGTATCACACCACATTGTCATGTCATTGCCACCATGACGTAGTTGGGCTAACTGAGCGTGGGACGAGCCCGACGAGCACCGTGTATGCGTACAAAGCAGAACCGCGTGGCTAGCCGCAACCAATCTGGATAAAACGGAGTTTATTACGCTATTGCAGTGCTCTGAAATTGAAACTGCTGCTCAAGCGACTGGGTCCCTTGGCACGCGTCCCTTTGAAGAAAAGCTCAAAAGCTTTGAATGGTATTAGCCCTTGGCGCTTCATATTCATTTTGCACTTAATAAAGGCAAGACAAGTCTTCAGTACTTGTTTTTGGCAGTTTAAGTGCAAGTTCTCATGCTGCGTTATTGCCCTCGAACATATCACTATGTATGCACTGGTTAAACGCCATTAATGAACAAACATCGGCAATATTATCATTGCCCGACGCTTCCATCCGCACTGATGATCACAAGTTAGGCAAGTCAGCTCATTCAGGATCATATGCACAGCTTAAGCCTTCCATTGCTGACAATGCAACCAACCTTTGCTCTATAACGTACAGGGACGTAATTTACTTTTCAGTTGAGGGAGGGCGGGGGGGGGGAACTTCAGCCTTCCCTCTCCCTCACCCAGTTCTGCTCCCCCCCCCGCTGTACGAGAAAATTGGGTCAAATCAGGAGAGAAACCCGTCTGTGAATTTTAGGCCAGATTTGATAATTTTTCATGATCCAGTCCTTCCCGAACTCACTTTCTGAGACTACGCCCCTGATGACAGCTTTTAACAAGCACCTCATTATAAATAAATAAATAAATAAATATATATATATATATATAATATATATATATATATATATATATATATATATATATATATATAATACGCGGGGCAGCCCAAAACTTGCCCGAGGCGTGGAGGAAGAAGCTTGATGACATAGAGCTGAAGCGTAACAGGGAAGGGGAGTTTGGACAGACAGCGTTACGTTACGCTCAGCTGTGATTGCCCATTACGCTGAAATGTCAAAAAGGATGGTTCAACAGCGTAACCAGATGGACGGACCACCACCTAGCATAACCCGTTCACAGCTCCAAGATGGGGTTTAAAAGTGGGCAAAATCCGTACCGTAATTAATGGGTGACCCCACCAACAGCCACACCACGCGCGGCAATCCGCCACACATCACAGATTCTGTCCCAGATAACAGAACTTGCCGTTCTGTGCCTCTGACACCGTGTTATCGGACGCCCTCTGAGACGGTCTTCCGCACCACAGTTTAGACTTTCGCCGCACGGCGGCAGCACCGTCTGCACAAAGCCATGGCAGCAGCCGAGTTCGGGGCTGGCAGTTGGTCTGCTCTAATCCATATACGTTTTTAGATCGATGAAGTGTGATGGTAGTTTGTCATTTCCTTTGCGGACAGTGCAGCCAGCACACATACTCGGGCGCAGCTATAGTGTGGAGACGTGGGCGTTCACCTTGCGCGGTCACGCTCGCCGGGTGCTGCCAGCGGGTCTGGAGGTTCAAGGGATGCCTTTGGAAAGTCCTCCGGGACCATCCAGATGCGAAACTCGGCCACATGGGGCATTTATGGGCCTTGAAGGTCTCATGGGCCAGGGGGTATTCAGCCAAAGACGAAACTCGGCCAAATTGGGCATTTCGAGGCCATTGGAGGTCTCCGGAGAGCACTGTCCGGGGACTTTAGGACCTTAATGGGGATTGGGTAGGGACGGGTTGAAAATGGGGTGAGGTTGGGGGGAAGTTGTCCCTAATGTCTCCTCTGGCTACACCATCTCGTCTAAGATTTGTGCGTCCCACACACCATTCTTCAATTTTGATACGACACAGCGCCAAGAAGCACGAAGTTTCTCAGCACGTATAATGCATGCTAAGCGCTCAGTGACACTGCAATGTTTCACAAACGGCAGACGTGTTTGTATTTTGATGTATTCATAACTTGTATACCGCTCGAGGAAAAAGACTGGCCTTTTGGCGAAGTCACGCTAATGGCCCTCGTGATGCGAGCGTAACGCCATCTAGGGAGTAACATCTACAACAAACACCCGTGATGAACGGAAGTGAGCTAAGGACAATGGACAATGACAGCAGCATCCCGCATGTCAAAAAGACGGAAGGTCGGGAAAGGAAGGTAATATCAGCCAAGTTTCTGCCATTTGTTACGGCAGAAGCCTACTTACATGGCAGTATAAGACCATGCCGCATCGCAGTGCCACGTTGACTAGACATACTGGCAACAAGGTGCACAAACATGAAAACAGTCACTAGAGACAACACATTTCGTGCTACCTTCCCCACGACCTCGAAAGCAGGCTAGTCCTGAGGAATCATCCGACAAGTGCTCAACACAACCCACGTGCCCCCGCGTCTGGAGCGCAACATCCAGAGATCCACCTCCACGCGCGGCGTCTGGAGCGGAGCTGGTCTCAGCGAGTGAAGGAGTAACTGTGCTAAATGCGGTGTGCACTCGTCCCCACGCCAGGTGCAGACGTTCCCTGAGAGCTGGCGTCGAGACTAGTTGGCACTTGAGTCCCAGCAAAATTGAGTACAACAGCTCGGGTTCTGATACATCCAATGCGAGTCAACAGCTCAGAACACTGGCAGGAATGCCCCACGAGACCCTACAGGCAAGAACGTCCCACAACATGGCGGCCAACAGCAAGATGACGTCAGCAGGTGCCGCTCCGTCAGCGCTGGCAGGAGGCGGAGCTGACGTCACGCCCAACCGCCTGACAGCGCCCCCAGCTGGTCTGGCCGGCCGGCGTCGCTCATGTGACCCAGATCATCACCAGGTTGACGAGGCTCCAGAGAAGGCCGCCGCAGGGCCGCCGGCGCTCGCGGTACAGCCGCTCTATGACGGCCGGCGCCAGGCCGTGCACGGTCAGGTGGTGGCGACACGTGCACGGGTGCTGCCACAGCGGCCGAGTCTTCTCGAAGCCCGGCGCGCGCTGCAGGCGCACGCCGGCGCGCGGCGCCACCAGCCCGCTCAGGAACACGTCCTCCAGGTTGATGAACGGCGTTTCGAGAGCCCGCCACCAGAGCGGCGCCACCGCCGAGCCGGTCAGCAGGTACGCCGTGCCGGAGATGTAGTCGGGGAGCGGCTCCTCTGCACGCAGCGCCGGCGGCAGGTACCACTTGGAGCCGGGCGTACGGTCGGTCGGCGCTTGGTGATACAACAGGCCAGCCATAAGGGCGGCGTCATCGGCGCAGGCGCCGCCCGGCAGCCGGCAGTCACGCAAGTACTGCAGCAGCGCCGGCATGTCCACCCACATGTCGTCGTCGGCTTTAAGGACGAACGGCACCGACGGACAGCGGTGCGTCAGCCACTTGAGCATGAAGACCGTCTTGATGGTGAGGTTGTTGTAGTGGTCGGGGAAGTCCTCCTGGAGGACGTCGCCGTGGGCGGCAGCCTCGGCCGACAGCTGAGCCTGCCGTGGAGAGGACGGCGCCGTCAGGGGACGCGGCAGCGTCAGGAGACGCGGCAACGTCAGGAGACGCGGCAACGTCAGGAGACGTGGCAACGTCAGGAGACGCGGCAACGTCAGGAGACGTGGCAACGTCAGGAGACGCGGCAACGTCAGGAGACGCGGCAACGTCAGGAGACGCGGCAACGTCAGGAGACGTGGCAACGTCAGGAGACGCGGCAGCGTCAGGAGACGCGGCAACGTCAGGAGACGTGGCAACGTCACGGGACGGGCGCCATCAGGGGACGGGCGCCGTCAGGAGGACGTAAAAGGGACGGGGCTCTTCCAGAGCGGCGGAGCCGGCCGGCCGGACCTCGCCTCGTCATCCGCCAGCCGACCACTGTCACAACACTCTGTTCAGAAAGGTTTGGCATTACGTCATAAGTGATGGACGGAAAGAGCTTTAGAGAAGCTTTAAAGAGAGTGCCCCATATTGAAGGGCTGCCAGAGAGTCAGACAAAATATGATCAGACAGCGTACGCTGGACGTGGTCATGTCATTTTTCCTTCGAGAAGGACCGGAATAGCACGCCTTGCTGGGGAAAATTCGGGACCGTTGCATCACAATGTGCGTGGCGCTGCACCCAACCAATCACCGACCGGGCAGCGGCGCCTGAAGGCCAGGCAGCTGACAGCTGGTGTCATTCCCCGTCACGTGACAAAGGCCCCGACATTTCTACGTAGTGGGTATGGAAAGGTCCGGAGGGCAGCCTTCAACCGCACCCTGCAGCTTGAACGAACGCGTCTTCGGCTATGACGTGGGCTGTTGATACTCCGGTGCGCATTTCGACCCGGCCATTTCGATTACAAAATTCACACAACCGTGAAACGCTTTACTCAAATGGGGGGCTTAACCCGGCTCATAATGAGACGCTCCTAAGCTCAGCAACGTAACGGGTGAACACTAATAGGTCACAAATTCGAAAGCAATGAAGGCGGAAAGCACATGAGTGTCATGCTACGCTACATTAAATGAACCCAATTGTAAGTGTTTATAGAAGGTGACAAGAAATATAAACATATACTAGGCTGCTAGCATAACCAGATAAAAAATTACCTCAAGTATGCCATGGCCATCACCGGGGAAATCAGAAATCCCGCACTCTGGCCGTGTGCAAAAGTCGCTGTTTCCACCCGAAACAGGGTGAGCAAATCACACAAACCCCCATTACACCAAAGCCCTTGCCCACCTTTCTGCCGGGAACATTTGGTCTCGCTGGTGCTGAATTGGAACACGGGGAGCTGTATACTGACCAGCGAGGCACTGTTCGGGCAGGAGGTGGGGAAACGTTCCAGGCAATCGGCGTGTGCGTGATCTATGTCATCTTACTCAGGAGACACGAGAGAGCTTGGACACGGGAAGAGTGGGCCATTGACAATTTATTCGGCGATGACCATCGCGTACCCTCCAAATCTCCAAAAGGCAGCTTTAGTGTGTGGCAAAGAAACTTATCCCCGCCGTAGCCTACAAGCCCACAGGCGGGACTTGCCGTTCTGGTCAGGTCTGGCTAGCTATCACCACGCCCGAAAGACGTCAGACCTGCTGGCAAGGAGGGAGGAGGGGGAGGGGGCAGGTAGAGAAGGGCGGTGAGAGGAGAGGGCAGGCGGTACAGAGGACGGACAGCGGTACAGAGGAGAGGGCAGGCGGCCAGAGGAGAGGGCAGGCGGTACGGAAGACGGACAGCGGTACAGAGGAGGGCAGCCGGTACAGAGGAGAGGACATTTGTTTCCCGGGAGGAATACTCCCCCCCCCCCCATGGCTGTCCCCAGCTGCACCCAATGTCATTCGGCAACGATAAAGGCCAAGACTTCACGGGAGACTGGGAGGCACTGTCAGACGAATAACTGAAGAGGATTCGGAAGAACATCAACCTTTTGACAGGATATGCTGAAAAAAATTATATGGGGGGGGGGGCGGGAGGGTAACGTGTGCAACGTGCTGCACGCGGGAAGCCGGGAGGTGCGTGCACCAAATGAGTGGAGATGCTCAGTGCACGTGCTCATCCACACAGCCAGAATTTTCATGCATGGGGTGGTAGTACAGGACTGTCCGCGCGTTCCCCAACTTTGCCCCAAATGAAGTGCTCATCGTTCATCTATCGCATCTCTCACATAGTATTGCATTGTGCCGTAATGTACCGGAACAAAATGCATCACGCTATAGCAACATACCCAAAAAATTGAGAGAGGTGTGATTGGGAAGGTTGCATTGAGTACATTAGGTTATGATGGTGGTTTGGACTAACAGCGCTTCTGCCGGTGGGGCCATTTCGTACTGTTCTGATGCATGAACGGTTCAATGTCCTCCATGTCACCGTGAGCCGGAGAGAGCCAGAGCCAGAGCCAGAGCCGGAGCCGGAGCCGGAGCCGGAGCCGAGCCGGAGCCGGAGCCGGAGCCGGAGCCGGAGCCGGAGCCAGCCGGCCGCCGGAGCCGGAGCCGGACCGGAGCCGGAGCCGGAGCCGGAGCCGGAGCCGGCCGGAGCCGGAGCCGGAGCCGGAGCCGGACCGAGCCGGAGCCGGAGCGGAGCCGAGCCGGAGCCGGAGCCGGAGCCGGAGCCGGAGCCGGAGACGGAGCCGGAGCCGGCCGAGCCGGAGCCGGAGCCGGAGCCGGAGCCGGAGCCGAGCCGGAGCCGGAGCCGGAGCCGGAGCCGGAGCCGGAGCCGGAGCGATAGCGAGAGCGAGAGCGAGAGCGAGAGAGAGAGAGAAGAGAGAGAGAGAGAGAGAGAGAGGAGAGAGAAGAGAGAGAGAGAGAGAGAGAGAGAGAGAGAGAGAGAGAGAGCGAGAGAGAGAGAGGAGTCACGGTAGACTTTCCGATGTATTCAGAGCCAAACTTCGCCGCACCGGTCGCCAATAGGGGCACGCCATATAGGTCGTGTCGACAAGAGACTCTTGGGCACGCCAAGCCCTAGCCGAAACCTTAAAGTCTAGAACCTTAGTATTCAGTCAGTATCACCAGTGAAAACCAACAAACACGAGCACGACACAACACAGGCTAAAATCGCACACATATTCGGGTAGCTCGGGCACAACACAGCCAACAATGTACACGGCAAGCTGCTTCAAAAATTCTTCTGGAGCGTTTCCCAAACTGCTAATAAATGTTCGGATTGCAGTACAGCATATGCTGCAGAAGCCAGCAAGCACAACACACATTAATTCAATTGGCACGCAATTAGCAGCTGACACTACAGGCTCCCATCCGTCCACTTTGCCATGCCCATTTGTAATGTCTCTCCGGGGGGCCTCTCTTAGCCTCAGCAGCGCACCCGGTCCCGGACCGGCACCCCACCTGTGAGTAGCGCACCCGATCCCGGCACCCCACCCGTCAGCAACGCACCCGCTCCTGGCACCCTACCTGTCAACAGCGCACCCGGTCCCGGCACCCCACCTGTCAACAGCACGCGCGGTCCCGGCACCGCACCTGTGAGCAGCGTACCCGATCCCGGCACCCCACCTGTCAGCAACGCACCCGGTCCCGGCAACCCACCTGTCATCAGCGCACCCGGTTCTGGCACCCTACCTGTCAACAGCGCACCCGGTCCCGGCACCCCACCTGTCAACAGCACGCGCGGTCCCGGCACCGCACCTGTGAGCAGCGTACCCGATCTCGGCACCCCCCTGTCAACAACGCACCCGTCCC